TTTTTTGAGCTACGTTGAACGACTAAATAGAAAAGTAAACGTGTTTCTTGCAATATATTGTACGTATATATTTGTACAAATATACACATTCGTATCTAATTTATGCATACAATACTTTTAACAATCTATATTTTTGCAATACGTTATTAATATCAAGAAATTAACGTGTCGTTCTTATTACTCGTTACAGTGGTTAGTAAAATTCTCAAGCGTTACACACGTCACAACTGTTACAGTCGACACCAAACACTTTAATTTTGTCGAACGATTGAAATAGTTTTTGTTTTTCGCAAATCGTAATTAGGGAAGTTGATCTGACAATTTGATTGCCATCATTGACTAGGTTATAATTGGAAGCATATTATACGTATTATTTAATTAAAGCTATACCGTCGGCTTATTAGAAGAGTGGCATATTTAGAAACTGTCAATTTTGGGATGTTTATAAAAATTAATCCCGAAAAAGATAGTTTCATTAAGAATGAATCAATCACAAGAAGAACGTTTAAAAAATTTTCTTAACAAATTAAAACCAAGTAATAATAAACGATATATAAATAAAAAATATTTTATTAGAAATTCATAAGATCAAAAGACTTGAAAATAAAAAAAATAAATTTTTAAAAGGAATGAATTTTTTGATTACTGGATGGTAAAGTTACTAATAATTTTCTACTTCAACATTTTTATTTCGTACCAATTTTTTGAAAAATTTATTTCTTCTAATCACGCCACTGTTTTTTAGTAAACTGATAACATATGAAGTTGAGATCGAATGTAATTTACCTAAGAGGAAAAAAAAAAAGAAAACGTTATTAAATTATATTTAATTTTTCTATATATTTTATTTGACGAGAGGAAAAAGGATCGTAAGTGCATTATTTTTTTAAATCAAATTATTTTAAAATAAACTACTAAATTCGTATTTATAAAAAAGATTGTGAGTCATATGTATAGTATATATATATATGTGTGTGTGCTCCATGTTATTGTATCTACACACATATACGAATATTAGAGATAATATGTATATGCGTATACATTATGTCCATAAAGATTTAAATTGACTAACTCTATTATGTTATGATGTAATATTATATAATTATTTACTAATATCCTTTCGTCTCTCTCTCTCTCTCTCTCTCTCTCTCTGCCATCTCTAAAAAATGTCATTGTGTTTTCATAACTTGTACATCTTCATAGGTTTCAATGCTTCAAATTAGAACACTACTGCTTTTTACGACTGTTATTAAATCACTAATTAACTATTAAAATTACTAGTAATATTAATAACAACAGTATATTACAAAATTAAAAAAAAAGATGCACAAAGTCAAAGCTAAGAATAGCAGCTTCAAAGTGTTGAAAGCGTTCGTTGACTTAAATCGAACAAACTACAATACATATATGAATGAAAAGACAATAATGAAGAGTGTAGACTGTAGAGTTTTCAAAAATACGTATATTTTTCGTGCAATTTCTAATTTATTTTCAACTTTACGTATAGTTTATACTGATGATTGAGATCAAATTATGATTGTATGTCAACTTTATTTAATTTCCACTTGTTTAGAAGTGAAATATTTATAGAATTTAACGTTATTCCGTCCGTCTGGGAGTCGTGCATACGTAGCAAAAGCCGTTCTGGCTCGCACTAAGGAACAATAGAAACACTTTATGACTCTCAATCTTATTCAAGGAAAATTTATTTGCTAATTTATCTTAAGAGAATCATATATCTCTTTTTCAAACATTCTCCTTTCACCGAGTAAAATATATAGAAATTGAAGAAATTAACAAATCGGAAAAAACTGTATTTCTGTACGTTTCAGGTAGTGTGTTTTTCTGATAACATTCAATATAGTAAAAAGTCGTGATTAATTTCTCACGAATATTCATGTTAAACATCCAATAACAGAGTAGATATTATTTAAGTAAAAATATAAGTATTTACGTATTCAATTCAAAAAGGGTTCAAGTAAAATTGTAGTCTTTATAGTTACGTACTCTTACGTTCCTACCATGAAAATTCGTTGGTTATACATTTCCGAAAGCTATAAAGAAGTTTCTACAAATCGAACGAGTTCATTGAATGTACTTCTCTTTTTTTTTTCTTTTCTTTACTTTTCAATTGAAATATTTAATTACGGTATATAACACAGTAACGCTGCACTTCGTTAATATAGTCTTCGTTAATACAGTTAAATGCCGAATACTTAATAGCTAGAATACATTTGCTAATTTCGAAAATTTTTCTAAGTTTTACCTGACAATATAGTTTGTGATCACAGTTGGGACGTTTCGTTACAACGATGCGAAAAATTATCGTACATCGTTTCAATTAGCATGACAGACTTCATTTCTCGATTCGTTATCAATATTGGACAATTATAAGGCAAACGTTTACAAATACACCGATCCCTAATTGTATTCACAAGATCTCTATCATTAGCTCTTTTATGAGTATGTGAACTCATAGCCAAATTTAACCACTTTTTTGCTCAGAAATATTTTATTTTCTATCAGTACCTACATGTGTATAGAAATTTTGTAAATGTTTATCAAAGCTAGCTCCTTTCAAATGTTGTTTTAGGAATACCTTTCGTTTGTTCCTTTTTTTAAGAAAGAATTTTGTTTCTGATAAAATTATTGACGAATCTAGCTTTTAAATGGAATTAAGTTAATACCGTATATTGTAGCTTTGTACTGTCAGAACAACAACGAATAATATATTCCAATTACATATCGATGTTCGTGTATATCATTCATGAATATCCACGTTACATTTACGCAACCACGTTGATCGAATTGCAATTTAAAAGACAAATATCGCGTCTGTATGCAGTTTGCATCTGTACTTCCATATAGAATAACTCTAACGAATAATAAAATCTCACGTGAAATGTGACATTCAATCATAAGTTTGCCAATAATAAGAGTTTTGACGAGATGTATTCATTGATTATTTATATCTTCGCTAATTCGTCGTACATTATGATGTTGAATGCGATTAAGCTGCATGTCATTGTATCTCAATTGAGATCTCTATTAACATATGTACATGTTTTACGCTTTACTTTATAAATATTACGGATAATTGTTACTATTATCACCGTATATAAAATATAACTGTGCTGTCTAATGGAAAGAAACAGGCCTGATGATAAAATCATTAAATGAAGGACAAATTCCTTTTTGTTGTTCACACTCTCTGAAAACAATAGTCGTTCGTTAAAAGCACAGTTGGTAATTGATTCAAGCTATACTATCTTTCTCGCGCTCCATCTCGATAGGGCCTTTGCCCCAGATCTTTCGATTTTTCGTGTACGGGATAAGCCCTACCAAAAACCCGGAGATAACAATCCATCCACCCGCCATGCAAAAGGACAAATCCCACGAATTCGTCACGTCAAATATCCAACCAGCCAGTGGTGGGCCAAGAAGATTTCCTATACCTTGACACAGCAGGCTAAGACCGTACGCAGTGGTGAATCTCTCCAGGGGTATCAACTCTACCAGTATAACGGGGGTGAAACTGAAGTTACTCGCGAAAAAGAGACCGAACGCCGCCGAGACGACCATCAGCAGATTGTAGTAAGGGGTCAAGGTTGACATTAGAATCGTTGCCACACCACAAGCAACCAGACACCAAGTATAGGTTTTGCTGACATTCATCCACGGTTGGTCCCCTGCCCATCCAAGACCGATCTGAGGACAGTATAAAACGATTACACTACTGTAGAAACACATCGAATTAATAAAATGGTTATACTTTATATGTTTGTAACTTAGTTTGCAGATAAAACGAACGGTACCATTCCAATTGTGTTGGTAATGCCGATGATGCTGAGGAGATTCGCAGCATCAGACTCGGTGTAACTGTTTCTGGTAAGATGCTCGGCAAGATAAAAGTAAGGCACGATAAACCAAGTGAACAGCAAGATCGTTGATAGCGAGAGGAATAAAAAGTGCAGTTCCAGGAACATTGAAAAGTCCATCATACCTTTCAGTAAGTCCACCAATTCGCTGTACCATTTCTGAAAATAATTGCCACTGTTAGACTGGGAATTTTTATGCATTTGTGTAATGTGTTTAAGAATGTAAAAGTACTTGCATAATAACGTAAAAATATATAAAACATCCAAAATCGAGTATATATAACTGTATATAACTGTACATTTTCAATAGTTAAATTGAGTCTTTGTTTAAGTCTACATTCATGAAAAAGAAAGTGTATTTTATAAAATAAAAATCCGCAGTTCGTTAACCGTATTACTTAATAATTATAACTTTGCTTTTAATAGTATTATGCAGTATCTATGAATATCTTTGGTTGTCAATTTAATACGATTCTTATCCTACCTCTTCGTTTTCTTTCGCCAAAGTAGTCATGCTATTCCTATAAATATCGGGACAACTGCTGGCCCTTAATCTGTATTTGTGTAAATTAAGGGCGGCACCGCGATACATGACCGAGTTCCTGTGAACTCTAATATCTTTGAAGTAGTGAGTATTCGTGTTAAACTGTCTCCTTAACCACGGCAGAGAATCCGTTCTGACCACTCTGCAATTAAGTTCACCGATACGTTGTTTGGACACCGATTTTGATTTTCTTCCTTCGTTCATCTAAAATGTCATCATCAAATTGTCAACGAATGTTATATTATATTCTTTTCACTTCCAATGTACCAACAATTGTACAGATTGAAATTTACTAACCGTGTGCTCAAGTTCTTTCGTCAAGAGAGGATTGACTTCCTCCGATTCCTTTTTCGTTATCTTTCTAGCTATGTGATTTTTGATAGTGTTGCACGCGGGCCCTGAATGAATATTATTCGTTGCATACGAATTGTCGTGTTTCGGCTCGTCAGGTGCTTGTTTGATCCTTTCAATCGAAATGAACATAATATTATCATATCTTGTTGTATTATTTATGGTAATATTGCGAAGCATTACATAAGACAGAGATATAAAGAAATGAAATGAAAATAGCAGTTATACACGTTGACTAAATTTGTAACCTCATCGACATTGTGACGACACTCTTATTGCCAACTTCTGCAGCAGTGGAATCTTGTAACATTTTATCCGAACAGCTTCTGCATGATAAAAGATTGGGATAGTTCTCCAAAATGACCTTATACAGCCTCGGGTTACTCGAAAGCGATTCTAATACCTCCACGGGCACCTACAATCCCCGAAAATGCATACTTTAGATGATTTAGTCTGTCAAAAAAACTTTTTAGTCAGTCGTTCATTTTCTTTTATTTTTATATACAATATAAAGTACTTGCTACGTTATTAACAATATGTTATTAACAATATTCTTCATACATTACACGACATTTATTAAAAATTTATTAAAAATTCCCAATACCAAAGTACTAATTTATATTTAGTGTTGTAAATGACCTGTTTAAAAAATACATTGTAACAAAAATATTCTTCTGCTGTTGTATGATATTCCTTATATTTTTCGAATAACATTTATTAAAAATTTCTAGCATCAACGTATGATACTATGATTTATCAAATGAACTATTTGAAAAGAGAAAAATGAAAGCGAACGTCAGAAGAAACGTTTCAACAAGTTACGTCTCATTTCACAGGGAAAGCAATTGAAGGATTCACGATCCGTATTTATTCAGGCAAGCGTCTCACCTTTTCATTGTGTTTCACGAAAGTAGGTAGATTAACCACGCTTCTGAACTTCACGTCCCCGTTCGTCGCCTGTGGGTCCTCCGTGGTGGTGCTGAGGATCTGCAACAAATACTCCGGTGTGTGCCCGCTCTTCAGCATCCTTCTCAATTCCTCGACCCCAGGGAATTCGTCCACAGGGCTGACGCTGGACCTGTCGCACTCGGACTTGGTCGTCGACTTCCTCGGTGTCGCGCCGTTCTGCTTCTCCTGCTCTATGATCCACCACTCAGGATCGCGCATAACCGTGCCGCAAACGATCATGTTGAAGAAGGTGCCCGCCAGGAGCAGGCAAGTGCCTCTCCAGCCATACTCTTCGATGAAGTACGTGGTCATCGGCGCGTACACGAACGTGCCGATGCCGGTGCCGCAGGCGCCCAAGCCCACGGCCAGGTTCCGCTTCTTGTCGAACCAATACGCGATGCTCACGACCGCAGTGACATAGCACAGGCCCAAGCCGAGACCAGCGATGACACCGAAAGTCAAATACATTACCTCGATGGAGTTGCCGAACGAGCTCAACACGAACCCTGTCCCGGAGATCAGGCCGCCAACGATGGTCATGCTCCGGCATCCGTAACGATCCACCAACGCTGACATGATCGGGCCGGAGAGAAGCGGCACGGCCATGAACAGGGAGCCGATCCAAGCTGTTTTCGACTTGGACGCGCCGAACTCGTGTAGGAACTCGATGTACAAAAGGCCGAAACTGAAGGACACCCCGTCGGCTATCATTGAAATGACCAAAGAGGCCAATACAACCACCCAGCCCCATCCGCCATCCGGCACTTTCGGTTTCCGTTTTCCCTTCGCTGTGTTGGTCAACTCGTCGTCCGATGCGCTGTCCGAGTCGATGGAGTCCTTCGTGTCGTCGTCCCTGTAGCCAGGATTAGAGGTGATTATCGGTCGCGACTCCGAGTCGTACCTGCAATTCCTGGGTTCACCGTTTCTCTCGTACGGCCGATGCTCGGACAACGGGACGGTTATTATCAGCTCGGTTCTACCGGTAGGGCTGGGCCCTATCGTGAGGTTCGGCGAGGCCAAGTAACTGTTGCAAACAGGCGTGAGCGGTATCCTGTCCTCCGTGCAGTCGGTCCCGGGGCTCAGCAGATCGATCTTGTCCTCGATGTCGTCCGGCAGGCTTAGGTCCTTGCTTCTGCCGAACTCCGGCGACATAGTCAGGAAGGTGTCTCTGTCCGGTGACAGTGACTCCACGCTTCGGTCGATGGTGTGGGCCGGCGTCGACTGCAGCAGCCTCTCGTCCGCCAGGCTGCTGAGGTCCTCCGTGTTCCCGGAGGAATCCACGCCGATCTCCGAACACTTGGTGGACGAGACGACGCTGTGCGAACGCGACAAATTGATCGCGTCGTGCATCTCCGGGTCTGGTGTACCACACGGGGTGCTCGGGAACACCGTCGGGCTGCCATTTTGCCAGCCAACGATGGGCGCCTTCCTTGGCAGGCGGTAATTCGAATTCGCCCGATCTCTCTGATGATTGCACGATGGTGGATAGTGATTCGGATCTCTTCTGATCACGTTCGTCGTGCCGTTGCCGCGAACGTCGTTGTTGTTGTTCCAGTTGCAGGCAGTTTTGTACGGCGCTTGCTTCGATCGATCCGTTGATTTCAGATTCAGGAGGTTCTCATTGCGGTCGGTCATTGTCTGTTATTCTAAATGTAGGTGCTGGCCGAGTGGATCCAACGTCGGGGCCAGCCCTTCAGCCTCTGGATCTCGCTCGGGAAGGATGACACGCGCCCTTCAGCTACCATAAGGACTTCCCAGTCGATCTTGGAAGTGTCACGAAACGTCGCTCGCCTCAGCATGCACGCCCCGCTTTCTTTCTTCTCCTCCTGGAAAGATCTGCTTTCAATGAGACAGGGAGAAAGAAAAGCTTCGATGTTACAAGTCAGTGGTCTTGTCGAACAAGTCGAGTGAAAATTTTAGTCGACATGGTAGTAGTTTCTGGCGTTGCAAAGCGTTGAGTGATCATCGATTGATCTTATTTTTACGCGCGGATTATTTCTACCGACGAGCGGGAAAGTTTGATCATTCTAACATCTTATTCTATTCTATGAAACGTAGAATACGTTTAAATTTTTAAAATAACAGAAGCATTGGGAAAAGGATTAATTTTTAAAAATCATGACATCTTGAAATTATATTTATGTATTTATTTCTCCAAAAGGTATAAAAATATACAGAATTTTGTGTTTCCAATATGGATAACAATTATCTGGCAAAATTCTAAATGTAGAGTATGAGGTATCTCGAGATACAAGCAT